AATGCACAATGCAAGCGGTCGTAGTAAAAAATACAAATCACGGAAGGAAAATTATAAACAAAATGACATTAAATACTAATTGCTTCCATTATTACCTTGGGGTTAAGTATGGCCATAGGTCGCTTTTTATGTTGCTCATCCTTATAGATCCGAAGATCAAAATGACTAAGTGTTCATATTCTTGCATGAAATTTTCGTGCAAGAGGGTAATAAAATGATCTTATTTGGACAACGCCAAGTTCTTCATGAATGATATTATTACGAATGTGCCAGGGTGCTTTGGAGATCTGCCTGAGAACATAGTTCTTGGAGTTTGAAGTTTTTTCTGTCAGATTTACAAGAATGCGCCTATACCGGACAGGCATAACATAACATGGCAGTAACATGAACTTATAAATGAGTAACTTATTGTCAATAGATAGAATGCTGTTTCGAGCAATTAAAGAGCACAGTTTAGCTTTACGAACTGGAAGCTTCTGGAGAATAGAGTGTATGTCCAAGGGAGGGAGGATCCTTAATGAGGATCACCACGAGATAAAGGACTTGCTTAGCCCAGGGCAGGGTTGTTCCATATTTCAGTTGCTATTCAATGTTCTTTTTTCTGGTGAACATAACTGCAACAGTCTTGTCCACGTTGACTTCGATTTTCCATTTAATGAGCCAGGCATATAGTACGTGTATGTGGCTTTAGAAAGGTTGAATAACTGGACCAAGAAATGCGTTTGGTGCAAGGATTTCTCCAGCCTGTGAATTTTGTAAATAAGTGCGTCTAACCAAACACGATCGAAAGCTTTGACTATATCGACAAACAGTCCTCTCGTGAAATTCTTTCGGTGAAAGCCCTCCGAGATGTGTTCAACAACAAGATATAGTTGATAAATTTCTGTTGAATATAAATTATTGAAGGATCAGAATATTCTTTCTATCTGACGTTTCACACGCCTGAGGACGACTTGTTCCATGAGCTTACTTAGGCATGGCAGCAGACTGATGGGCCTGTAGGAACTAGCTGATTGGTTAGCTTTTGTGGCTTGAGAATTGGAGTAACACAAGCCGTTTTCCACTCGGCTGGGAAGTATTCCTAACGTAGAATAACATTAAAAAGTTTTGTCAACTTGAAGATCATTTTTAGAAGCAGCATTTTAATCATCTTGTTAGTGATCTTGTAAATACCTGGACTTTTCTTCGGTTTGAGGATTTTTTATACAGTTAATAATTTCCGAAGGTCAGGCTGGAGCAATGTGATCGGCGAGTGGTTTCGTTGTGTACCTAGAGTGAAAGTCAGAGACTGTATGTTCTGTGCTTGTGTCCTGAATGTTTTTTGCGCAAAACTGAGATTCCAGATGCATAGCTAAGAGTTCTGCCTTCTCAGCTTCATTATAAGGGATACCGTTCGGGCATTTAAGGGGCAGAATAACTTATATAATAAACTTATATAATAAGCATTTATTGAATGCAAAAGCCGATCTCCAAATGAAATTATCATCAGTATAGAGTTTAGTTCAGATACTTAGTCCAGTCGTTTTGTGTTTCTGTATTAGTAAGAGACCTGACGGTATCGTTCAGTCTATTTACTTGCTGTTTGCCTTCCGGATGCCTAGTCCTTTGAAACTGTATCTGAACAGCGTTATATTTTTGGTGAAGTACTTCAGCTCAACACTTCTGCTAGGTTTGGAGGTTTTAAAATTTCTACTCGCACATTTATGAGCATCAAGGTTGGAACTTGTGAAATACTTAACCAAACTGTCAATGTCATTCTCTATCTGTACTGTTGGAAGAGTATAATGAGTGTTGTTCACAGCTTTGGCAAACTTAGGCCAGTCGGTGATAATGGCTCTTTTACTGGTGTGACATAATAACTGATGTACAGTTGAATTCTAACTGGGTTGTGGTCAGAAGAAAGCTCATCCAGCGCAAAAATATCCAGTGGATCACTGGTATTTCTGAGCAGCAACTGAGAGCAGATGCTCTCTCCGGCCTTATATAGTTTTCACCGAGAAATGTCTACTACTTCACGAAATTACTGCAAGGGATATGAGGCCAGGTACAATTACAGTTACATTTGAAATCAATTAGTTATTCAGTTATAATGCTTATTATGGAGATACAAGGACTGGAACAAAAAAGTCGCTAAAACCGTTGCCAGCTTGACGATTTATTGCCAAATCAGCAAGATAACCATTTACGCAATGTTAAATAGACATGCCACGGTATTCTTATTTTTCCCGCAGAGCATCATTTCGTAGATTTTTCATGTTACTTTATTCAGAAAAAATACATCAATTTCCTGTACACTTTCACTAAAATCATCTATCTAGGTACAGAATTTGTAACAATGGTATAGAACATATGTATGAATTACAATTTTTGCAAAATTTTCGAGAAGTGTAGCATCGTGGGGTGAAACTCTAAGCTGTGTCATGGTTAACAATTTAACTCATCCTTTTTCTGGTATTTATATTACCTTATGCATTTTATTATCAATTCAAGTCTCATTAGCTACAGCAAAGACATCATATTTAAAACTGGAAATAACTAAAGATTACCTAACCTAAGATCTATTGTGGGTCAAGTTTTAAAGCATTTTGCAATGAACTGATGTATGACCTGCTTGTCAGGAGAATTTTCGATTGTATTCATTCAGATATTAAATGATTCATTCAGATATAATACTGATTTCATTTATTATTTTAACACCTTATTTTGAACTCTAACTCCAACACTTTCAACAACTTATTGGAAGAAAAGACTCTTTGTGCTGTTGCAAAGAGAGCAATGTAGCCTCGTCTTCCTAGGATTCTATCAGAGCCAGATTTAGAGATAATAATTCCCCAAGAATCGGCCCCCAAGAGAGTGGGGCCCCTAAGCTATAGCTTGTGTAGCTTATACGCAAATTCAACCCTATATGCTATGCAATTTTCTTCACTGCTACACGTTGCCTGTGATTACCTGTTCCTTATACTAGAAAAGAAAATTAATTTTTTAACTTTCTAAAGATATCCCCCCCCAAAAAAAATCGACGAGAAATAGTTATCTGTATTGACAGAATGAAATCTGTCTTCATGATAGAAGAGGACGAGGATTTAGTGACAAATTTCCAGCAGTCTGCAGTAATTTTCAGCAGCAAAAACACTGATGTCTTACAATTTACCTCTCAACAGAAACCTTCACTTGAAACCAAGACATCTAAGTGCAGTTTAAAATCTAGCTTCGCATCCGATTTTTTTTTATGTCTTTTGTTAGAAAAGGGTATTTCAGTAACTAATAAATGATAAGTGGCAGCGGCAAGGAAACGTTCCAAAGATTTTGCTAATCTTCTGGCTTCAGGCTTTTGCGTAACTCGTAATTTTTACATGAATAAATTATGAATATATTTTAGACAGTTATATCTTCTTCCACACTACCTAACGCACACCTTAAGATAAACATTTTAAATATTTTTTTAAAAATCCACATGAACATATATAAGTAGCATATTAAATTGCTGAAATGTATATATGTACATAAAAATAGACTAAAATATTAAATCAAGCTAAAGATTATGCAGTGCTATACATGTTAAGTGTAAGAATTAAAATTATATTCCTATAATTAAATGTTCCAGCTCGCAGATGAGGAGGACACCAGTTCACGAAGTCCAAATAATGCTTTAGAGAAACTTCAGCTCCAAGTCAACATTATTAACAAATTTTGTCAAGACTGGAAAATCAAACTAAATACTGATAAATGCTGCGTAGTTCTCTTTCGCAGATACAGAAAAAATATCCCAGTGAATATAAATATCCGACTCAATAACCAAGATATTGCTGTTGCCAACTCCTGTAAATATTTAGGTGTCTATATTGACAAAACCCTAAATTTCAAAGATCATATTCAATATGTTACAAATAAGGCTAACGCTGCTTTCATTGCTCTCTACTCATTAATTGGAAGAAACTCTAAGTTAAACCTCCGTACCAAGAAAAATATCTACATCTCACTTATTCGACCAATAATCCTCTATGCAGTTCCAGCCTGGGCTACTGCCCGAAAAATAGACAGACAAAAATTAAATGTACTTCAAAACAAAATCTTACGTAGCATAGTGAACGCACCCTGGTTCGTGCGAAATTCTCAAATTCACAAAGACCTGGATATCAATCCAATTCACGACCAAATCCTAATTTCTGCACACAACTTCTTTGAAGATATGAGAAATTCTCCCTATGAAGCTATTAAATCGCTTACAGACTATGACCCTACTATTGAGAACGTAGTGAAAAGACCTCGAACGATCCACCACAATTCTAAGTGGTGGTAGTGTACTATTCAAGAAAAATGAACTTTGCAAAATTAGGACTTTATTTTTCATCGATGAATTCTTCGTTTTACTACTTATTTAACCAAGATTTTTTACTTTTTATTTTTACTATTTCGTATCGTGTGTTTTTAAAATCAAAGTTCGTGGTAACACCAAGTGCTTACTCTCACTCATTAGCCCTAGTGAGCTACATGACCTCATTTTCGCCTTTTACAGTTTCCTATTCATTTAATGATTATATCGCAAGTTTAGAAGATTTTCAAGTGTTTCAAAAGACATTAGACTCTTAAATTCACAAATAGATGTTGCTTTTACTATGTTCGAACTTTATTTATTGCCAAAAACTACAAAAACTTCATTTTTCGAACTCTGACTCCTCGACCAATCTAAATGTAATCTAAATCTAACTTTCATTTCGCTTCTCGCCACCATTTACGTATATAATCACCCATGCTATGCCATGATATGCAATTTAGCAAAACTTATTTTATGAGTTCTCTCATTTATTGATCTCGCCTTCGGGCGCGGTGTATTTTAAATACACCTCTTAAATTTTTAACTTTATGGCCTATGGTAAAATGATAATATACTGGTAAGAGCTCCTAGTAGTAAAGATATGATCTAAGATCCAAGATGAGGAGGAAAGGAAGAGGAAGAGGAAAAATGTGGTCACGTGTTTAAGAACAACAACATCCGCATGTGCTATGTTTACAATGGAGTAGATAGTAGATATTCCGCTGAAATTAATTGATTTTTCGAATTTAAAAGTTTATGGCTATTGTGAGAAATTAAAAAGTATGCTTGGAATTGATTTCTCTTTTCTTGAGGTCAACAAGTAGGGTCTTTTGTTATTCAAGGAAAAACATGTGAACAATATTTGCTTCAAAGTAATGCCGGATATCACGGTGCTTATAATAAGCCGTGTTAAGGCCGAAATGAAGAAATCAATAAATTATGAAACATCTGTGCAATTTCTGCAGAAAACGAGGTAAGATTTATAAATTTTTCTTATGCGTGATGCTTACGAGTATTAATAGTGTTTTTATTAAGAATATTAAGTGTACATCAGTTAATTTAAAACTATTCCCAAGGCCTTGAATAACGTTTTCGAAACTTTTAAATGTAAGTGTAATAATAATATATTCATAGTTCATGAATAGTTGTTCTAACTTACTGAAATAGCGGAATTCGGGAAAGATCTGTGTATCTGCAAGAACATAAATACAAAGCCAGTTTTCTCTCATTAATATTAATTAGTGTCATAGAACATTTTATGCAGCTAAAATTTTATTAATTTCATCAAGCTATGTTTTAATATTTCAACTGTAATCGATTTTTAATGAATACACATAACTTGTGATGTATATTTAAAATAAATATAACTGTAACGGCGCTCATGCTATGCGATTCTATTGTTGTGATGCACGTGTTACTGTGCTAGCTGAATGTCATGTGAACTGTTTAAAAATGTAATAATAAAATTTTGAATTCTTGAGATATACTCATTAGTTGAGTACTTTGAAAGTATAGAAATTATTAAGTTTAACAAACTGAACAAGAAGTTACATAAATATCCGAATGTTAAATTTTTTAATACCTTCCATTGTAGATATGAAGGATACCAACAGCTGTAATATTAGAAACATCAGTAATACTGAAACATTTTAATATAAAAGTATGCTTTTATAAGAATTTATACTTAATTCTAAATTTCCATGGGAGATTGCTGAGTTTTTTAGTTTAAATATTAAATTAGCATGCATATTTAGTCGTTCAAAATCAGTGGTTGTGTCAGTCCATAGTTTTAGATAACATTTGCCTTGCGCATTACAATTACACTAGTGTATTTCCTATTGTAGATCTTTTCAATAAATACACTTAAAAATCTTTTTGAGCTACATGATTTTAAAATAAAACATTCTGCACATAAATTATGTACCTTACAAGATTAAAAATAACTTCAAATGTATACAGATAGTACTTTTTTATTATTTATTATTATAAAATGAAGAAAAATGTATTATAAAAAATTATGGTACTATTCCGTTTTGAGGGCCGTAAAAAAATTGCAGCGAAAATGTATGCGCAAAAGCGCCAAATCCAACAAACGCGCCCATTTAACAGCGCGCCAAATCTAGCGTAAGAGCTGATTTCAGATTGCGTAAGTTTATATAGTTCTATATTTCTTAAGACGCCATTGAAATACTAGTTTAATTTTTTATAATCTCTTTTTGATTTTAAATCCTTTTTGGATATCCTATGGGCAATTTGGGAATTGCCCATGACGAAAAGTGGCCAATAGAATTTTGGGTAAAGTGCAGAATCACCCACTGCTTGACGCGTTTTTAAGAATGCACATACTCGGTATCCATGTACACATCGACCTATTTTCACTTAAAAAGTGAAAGAAAATTGACAAAAATCCAATTGTTTTTACCCTTGTAAAAAGCGGCAAACAAATAAGTGAGCGATTCTTCACTTTACCGAGAATATTTTCAAAGAAAAGGCATCATTCATTATAGAAAATTACGTTTGAACAACCAACGAGATGAAATTATGCTTTAGCGATAAGACGGTAATGAAATAGCGATGCAGGCATCCATTCAGTTATGTTTAGCAATTTTTATATAAATTATAATAATGATCTGAAATAGCTATTTACTCTTATGCTTCCATTCAGTCATGTTTAGCCTTTTTCATATAAATTATAATAATAAAAAAGTATTATATGAAATTAACCTTTCATCTAAATTAAAACATCAATCTTAGTTATTTACTATTATACTTCCTTTCTCTTGTCGCAATTATTAGGGTTGCCACAATTATTTTTGGCAGCATTGGCATCAACAGTAGTTTGGCGAATTTTTATGGCCCTCAAAACCGAATAGTACCAAAATTATTAGTTTCACAGTTAGTACTGAAACCGTGAACTCTTGCACAAATCTCTATATTTTTCTTTGTGAAATTTATATTATAGTATACAAAATGTTTTAATTTGCAGTTTATACTATCAATAGGATAATAGTCAATTGCTAAAATTAAATTTTAAGTTGTATAAAATTATATATTAATTTTGAACTGCGCAGAACATTGGCATCGTTATTCTTACATGATTTAAGGGCCAACTGCATTTACAGTGCTCCGGAAATTTGACCATTACGATTTTTACAAACCAACTATTTATATTTACCGTTCTACTTGTTAAGCTGATAAAATTATGACTTAAAAAATATTTATCAATAACTTTCTTGTCAGTGTAGAAGAGCACTCTATGTAAACATGATTTAATGTATTCATTTTTGCATTTTTTATAAATGAATTAATTATCAGATCAAGGAAAGAATTCATAAATAAATATAAAACAATCAAAACATGGTAAAGCAGGGAGCAAAAGAGTATCATGAAGATAACAATAACATATGAGTTACCATAATTATACTAACCAAATGGATGAACAGTTAATTAATGGATGAAATAACAATTAAAGATGAAATGCAAAGACGGTTGCACGTATTTTTGGCGATTTATATTGGTGCAATTGTTGGCGCGGTTTTCATAGTCGTCAGCCATCTTGAAAGATGCTGTTTTTACGTATTTTACGCATAGTAAAGTATTCGAAACTTTAAAAAGAATAAATATCGTTAAAAATAATGGATTAATTTTCTGTTGAAAACGTTGTTTTTAAGATGGCTGGCAAATGTAAATAAGTACATTTACTAAGAGTATAAAATGCTAAAGTAAGGTTAAATTATTACTTTCATATAATAGAATAAAAATACCTCTATAAATACATTGCGCCAACATTTAATTGGATTAAAATATTACTTAAATTGAATATCGAATTAAAAACATCATACCAACGTTTAATTGAATTAAAAATATTAGTTAAATTCAAATACTTTAAAATAAGTTTTATAGGATATAATTATTTAACTTTAAAACATATGTGGCAATAAATATCTCGGGAATTTTTTAAAACAATGTATTAATTTTTTAATAAAAATTGAAGTATACAATTATAAAGTAAAATAAAAATATGTCCTTACATTTTTTTTTAAAGTCGTATTTTGATAGTACCACAAAAAAAAAAAAAAAAAAAAAAAAAAAAAAAAAAATCTTCATCTCACATCCACATGTCTCGCACTGCATTGAAGAAGCAATTACCAAGGTTTCCTCCAAAAATTTAAAATAAATTTCCTCTGATTCTTTGTTACAATTTATAAATAAATCTTTGATTAAGAAAGACAGGTTGGCCAAAATAAGGTCTGAAAGGGCAATTTTTTTATTCCAATACCAATAATTCTTGGTAATTACCAATAACAACATTAATCTTCGACACGGACATATCCATTCGCTTTGAAATTGTTTTATTTATTGCTAAATTGATGCTTCATTTATGGTAACATGATTAGTTGAATATTATGGTTAGGTTATTCAATTATGGCAAAGCCTCGAGGGCTATCTGCCTAAGGGGAGGGATGCCTTTGTGGAGGACTTTCTAAGGGAAACTGGCTCATATACACGTTACACATGGAGAAAACCTTGAAAACACCCATGCAGCCAGCCCGTTCGCGGGATTTGAACCTCGGAACGAAGTTAAATGTTACGAAAACCCTATTATGGCGTGATTGGTTGTGTGTTGTGGTGAATTTGACTGATGGGAAAATATTTATAAGGGCTTACTTCTGCGTTAGATGTGGGTTAGAAAGTATGTTGCATATTTTGTACTTTACATCGTAAAATGGCTCCTGGTGGTAAACTGGGTATTTGGTGGTATACAATAAGGAAGCGAAAGGGTTTTTTTTTTTTTTTTTTTTTTTTTTTTTTTTTTTAAGTGATTGAAGACAGAAGGAGGAAAGAAACTTTGTTGGATGTAATTCAATGGAATATTTTATCTGGAACAACCCCACAAAGCAAGTTTAGAGTAGGTAGGGTTCCCACATTTGGCAAGAAATCGCCCATTTATTGACATTTGGCGACAAAATTGGCGATATGCCATAAACGGATGGAGAACCTTCTGGAATAAATTCTTACTGGTTTAGCCCAGAATGTTCTTGAACACAAGCGAAAAGCTATATAAACCCTGCTGGTATACAAAGAGTTAGTATCTCGTCTAGTGAGTCAGTCCGTGCGGAGTCAGTCGAGTTGATAGTCTATCAGCGAGTGTCGAGTTGGTCGTCGATTGCACTGAAAGAGTCTCTTAGTGTATCGCAGTTAGTGCATCATCGAGAGAGTGTGTTGAGCTCCGGGAAAGACTGAACCGAGGAGTCGGGAGCTGTACTCTAGGGTATCGTCGAATGCATCATAAGTTTGGGCATGGAGTTCCGAGAACGACCGAGCTGTACTCTGGTGCATTGCAATGAACTGTCTTCACCATTATAGCCTGATTGCCTTAAGGCTGTGTCGCTGATTGTTACAGCATGTATATAGTAGTTCTTTGACAACTGCAAAAATATGTTTTGAATAATACTGGCCAATAAAGTGTGTTTTGATACTTTATCAAGTGCATTTCTCGTTATTCACTCCAAATCCTCACCTCGTAAACATACAGGGTTCGTGAGGGTTTGGAGAGGTTTTTATATATATATATACATATATATATATAAAGGAAAAAATAACGTAACAACTGGTGTCAGAAGAAGGACTTGCGAGTGAATACCAGAAGTGTCAGTGACCCGCCTACAGAAAAAAAAAAAAAAAAAGGCATTGCTAAGGAAATGAAGTTCACGGACTTCTTAGCAGCTTTAAGAGCCAGACTGGAAGTGATGAAAGCCGTATATGAAGACATGAGGCCTGAGATCAAAGCCGGAGTGAAAGAGATGATAGCTGTACTGGAGGAGAAGAAGGCCTAATGAGAAGAAATAAATGTCGGCTAAGAAAAGGTGCGAAAGCAACTCCAACAGATGAAAGTGGAGCTTACAGAAGAAACTGGACTCATAAAAGGAGTTGTGGAAACGACGGAAGTGGTGTCTGAAGAATCGAAAGTGG